ATATATATATATATATATATATATATTTAATATGAAGGTTGAAACATATATATATATATATATACCTTTTACAAAAACATATTTCATACATACAACATATATTGAGCATATATTTAAAATATTTTTTGGCCCCATATAAATATGTAATCTTCACGCTGACATCTTTGGCCATAAGTACAGTTTCTGGAGCTGTAAATGTCATGTATGCACCAATTCAAAGCAAATGCATATATTTATATACTGAATATTCACAACTGCTGAAAAATATTTAAACATAGTTTTTTAAACTCATTTTTGTTCCCTTCCTGTTCACCTTAGGTTTCCTGCCCTCCTTCAGCAGGGTTTTCCTCTTCAGCGGCCCCTGCATTGTGACTCCACTCGCCTCTCCATGAGCCAGACTGGGCTCTGCTACTGACGGACTGCACAGAGGGAATCACATTAGCCCAACACCCTCTCAAAAACAACAACAACCAGCCCGCGCATGTGTGTGTGTGTGTGTGTGGACTGTTGCTTCTCTAAGCATGTAATGAGGCCTCAGAGAGCAGACGTTCCAGCTCACATCTGCTGTGAGGATGTGATGGAGCTGCTGGAGAGCTCAGGCAGAGGTGAAGAGTTTGAGAGAGTAAAGAGAGCATTGATGCAGGACAGAAAGGTTCCCCTTCACCCGGCAAACACCCCACTCACAAGATATCGGCTCTGTTTACAAACCTAGTGAGCTGCCTATGTAGGATGCATTTTCATACGCACACTCTCAATGTAAACCGTATAATAATGCAGCCTTTAAAATACTCTATTCGTGCCAAATTCCTCAAGTGTTTTACTCCATATTAGACTTTAAAATGTTTAAAAGACCATTTAATATCTGACGTTCCAGTGAAGACCTGCACTATCTATCAAATACATTGTTTTTATACATTATGAATGGCTAGAAATCAATCATTTTGTATTATACCATCATTATATAATCACTGTTGCACTCTATTGAGCCGAGTCTCCTCACATACATCACACTTGCATTGCTTTCTAGAATCTTCATTTAACTAAACCACAATCAAAGGCACTTAAACTTCGTGTTGCTTTGAAAAAAGTCTGATAAAGCGGGGTTTTCAATCTTCCAGATGCCACAGACCCCCAAATATGTTTTAAAAGGCAGCTTTAAATTTTTATGTATAAAGAACATATTTATAAAGTGTTAAAAATTATTATAATAAATATGTGTAAAATGTTATTTGGAAAAAAATGTGTTTCTATTACATTATATATCTATTTTTCCTACACACTATAGTCCTGTACTGTTCAGATGTATTATTTAAATCAATTTCAAAATTTTTATTTTTATTTAAAATCTCTCTTAATATTTTTAAATCGGTTTTAAAATCAGATTTAATTATATTACATTATATTCTGTTTTTCCGACTCACTTTAGTACTGTACTGTTTAGATGTATTTAAATCAAATTTTTTTTTTTT